AAACATAAGGCCACATCATCTTGGTTTTCATATCCCCGGGATTTTATAAAATTAATAACAGTTATGAAAGGTCAAATAACAAGATTGATTCACGATTATTTTCTTTGATCTTCTGTAATCAGTGCTGTCACTAGCAATCTTTCCACCGTAATTTCATAATTGAAGACCAAGATGGTGTGACCTATGGTCGCAGTCTCTTTTAGCTTTATAGCATTGGCTAATTTAGCCTTGTCTCCCCAAAAGTATTCTTGTTCTAAGTGGATTCCAGTTTTGACCTCATCTGGGTTTTCTCGATACCTTTAATGGGAGCCGGACCCAGCTAGTACAGCCTACCACATTACCACGAGTGCCAGTGAGTTACAGACCAGACGTAGCTTTCAAAGTAAAGCCTCAAACGTCATCACTATGGTAGGAGTATAACAAGGCAAGCTTGTATTTGTCATTACGATTGACGTTGCCACTTATATTTACTTAGAGTAGGCTTCGGCACTACCCTTATTTCTTGAATAAGATCTATCCAAAAAATTACGTTTTTTATCTAAAGTTTTCAATTTTAACTGCACTTACTCTCAGCTTCAGCTGCTATCGATGCCAGTAAAGCATCAGCTTCCCATCATCTGCCCGATTCCTTATTGTCTCACCGAAGAAACCTTCCTCTCGGCACTTCACTTTCCATCACAATTTCACGGAAACCAAGCGGCTATGAGTGGGGTTAGCTGTGACATCAGCCGAAGGCGTTCCTTCCTAGCTGGCCAGAACGGTCATTCTAGCTTGGCCGGGGCTGATCATGTCATGGGTTTACCTCTTGCTGCTTCATCTAAAGGAACCACCAGCAGCTGCAGTGCTGGAAATAGCGGTTCTGCGGACGGAGGCACTAAAACTTTATCTTCACTGGCTATCAGCCTTCGACCTAGTGGTAGCATATATTCACTAAACTCCTACTTGGCCACACCCATTGCATCCTCTCCCACCGTCCCATCAGCTACCACTACTACCTTACCTTCATCTCCAGTTTCATCAGCTTCATGGACTCCACCTGGTCTTATTCATCCTTCCTCATGGGCATGGCCAGGATCTGTATCAGCAGCTGCTCCGACTGACAGGTACTCTAGAGTTTGCTCAATCAACCAGGAATTTACTTTTCCGGCATTATCTAGCTGTCCAGTTGGAATTGAGGTGCCAGTTGCTGTCTGTTCTGATAGCCTGACCAGACTATTAACTTTGCCCGGTCCGGCAAAAAATCAATATGCTAGCGAACCTTTTACCTTTCTGGGTAGTTTCGAGTGGACTGCATCGCCGCACTTTCTGCACGTCTGTCCTCCCTATGTTTTAGCTGTAAGTCATGAAAACTAGGTTTTATATTTTCTCTCTTGCTCATTTTTCATTTCCCCTACTAAACTTTTAAAATTGTATAATTCTTTTATTTATATTCGTAGTTAGTTCTTCATCTGATTCAGCTTATTTTTTTCCTTTTTTTCTAATGTCCTCAAATCATTTATTCCTTCAAAAATTATAAATTTTTTACATGCTTAGATACCATTCGCATGATGTTTTAATTATGATATTTCCTAGGCAACAGAGACCCACCTCGAAGTACGTCTTCTCGATCCGCCTATTCTTGTGCAGACACTTCGGCTATCCCGCGTCAAAGCCATGTGCCAATCATATG